CTGCGGGTTGATCCCGAGACGCAAACATGCCGTGTCTTTGATTTCGTTCGCTCTCTCTTGTTGTCGTCCTACTTATTCATGTACTCAAATTACTATCCAATAACATTACTGTGCTACCTTTTCCTTGGTTGGAAGCAGAAATACCTAGAGCTATGTTGAACTACATATGCTATTGCGCTACAGAGCTATGATGCTACGGCATGCTATAGCGAGCTATATAATCTAAGTGATAGCTATATTTCAGGGGTCAAGCTACAGGACTATGAGAGCTATCAGATCTACATACGGCTTTGTAGTCTCCGGTTTTTTTCCTGATGCGGGCAGAGTTGCCAATTAGTAAGTGGCAAGGAATTCAGCTTCAAAAATCGCAAGTCTCACAAGAAATTTGGGGTCACTGCTACTCGTGTTGGCAGGAAAAAGGTTGATTGGAACTTGGGTATGGGAGCTTTCATCTGCATTCATTGCAATTTGGAGATATGGATGGAGTGGAGGGGCCGAGTGAATGTGGGTCAAGTTGAAAGCAACAGACAGTTACAGACTAATAGTAACATCAAAAAGCAAACAATCCTGCCACACGATCAGGTGATAATCTTCCTCCTCTGTCCTTGAACTTTCTCGTTTCCGTTGCACGGGAAAAAAATTCACCGGCCGCTGGCAGAATTGTCTTATGTAGGTTGTGTTAAAAAAATGCAAGTCTGTAGTGTTGCAAATGTTATATGACTTGTTGCCAAAAGTTGGCTGTGGTTGAATGATCTAAGTTATAAGGCTCTCGAGTATGGCGGTCAGTTTGTCGTTTTAATCAAATCTGTATAAAATGTCATTTTTGGTCAAAAGTGTAGAAAAAGTACCATTTTTGGCGGAGGAGGTAAATGTTCGAGTCAAGTTGAGTTGGTGTCAAAAGAGAAAGTGCAACTCAGTGTAGAAACTTTTCGCGTTAGTGTAAAAACTTTCGGCGCTCAGACATGTTTTTTTCGGCTGATCGACCTGAGCAGCTTCTTCCCGTGATTCCTATCTACCCATGCTCAACGTTATGGCGGCCTTTGCCGTTATGTACAGCGCTATGGCGGCCGTCGCACTGGCTTGTTCGCAATCCCAAACACTACAGTGATGTTGACCATCACACACCATCCTTTCTCTAATAGCCTCCGACCTGTCGCTTTCTCGTGACATTAATCCAGCTGTTCCTCCAACCTACTGTCTGGGAACATGGCGGGGTGATGGCGGCGATGGCGCATCATAGTGCGTAACGCACTGCCACTCCGGGACATGCCGAAAGTTTGATGGAGCGCCGAAAGTTTTTACCCTAACGCCAAAAGTTTCTACACTGAGTTGTTACTCTTTTGACACCCAACTCAACTTGACTCAAACATTTACCTCCTCCGCCAAAAATGGTACTTTTTCTACACTTTTGACCAAAAATGACATTTTATACAGATTTGATTAAAACGACAAACTGACCGCCATACTCGAGTACTCGAGTATGCCTCGCTAGTACATAGCTGGATTTTGAACTTCACTTCCGACGATGTCATGATCTCTGCTAAATGCTACTAAACTACATGCATTGCACGTGCACTCATTTTTGTTTGTACATACTAAGTAGAATTCGCAATCCTCGTGCCCTCGCTCCGACAAGCCCCCACCTCCTCAATTTTTTGAGTGCGGAATCGGCTGAACGGGCGGCAGGAACGAAAAGTTCGCAGAAACCTTGAACATTCTGGCCAGCTGCGTTCCGTCTCCCTATTCCACCCTCAGGACAGTTACATCAGACAAAGCAAATTTAACGCACAATTATGGTGTTCGGGAATCCGGGGTCAAACGGTACTACACTCTCCAGGAAGGCAATCTGCTCTGAAGAAAGCGAAATATCGAGCGCTTCGACGTTAGCGAGGAGGTGTTCAACTTTGCGGCCGCCGATGATGGGGAAGACATAGGGTGTTTTGGACATCACGTAGGCGATTGCGACTAGAAGTTGGACATTAGGAAACAAAATCACCAGGCAAAGCAAAAAGAAAAGGCAACGCCACCCACCCGCAGTGATACTCTTCGTTCCCACCTCGCCAGCAACCTTCTCAAGCGCATACGACATCTTCTTCTCCGTCTCATTACGCTCCCAGTCAGGGCTGAATATCATACGTCCTTTCTCGCCCGTGCGGCGACGCTCCTCCTCTTCAGCATCGGTGCGGAATTTGCCTGAGGCGAGAACGTCCCAGGGGGCTAGTGCCAGACCTGTCGTGATTCGAGTATTCGATTATACTGAATGCTTTCATGCAAGGACATGCGGCCCACCTTGCGAACGACACATCGGGATAATATCGCGCTCAAACGAACGCTCGAGGACGTTCCATTTGCCTTGATAGATCACGAATGGCGTCCTGCCATGGTCTTTGGCGTATTGGTTGGCGAGGGCGACGACCCAGGCGGGAGTGTCAGAAACTCCCTTGGAAAATTTTCAGTCGAGGTTTCACAACAGAACGATGATATACATACCAGATACAACACTTTGCCCTGCACGACTAGATTGTGCAGCCCATTCATCACCTCCTCAACGCCCGTCTCCCAATCCCACCAATGCACATACAGGATATCGATGTAAGAGGTGCGCAATTTTTTGAGGCTGGCTTCGACGCTGATGTGCATTGACTTTATATTGTTTCCAAGGTAGTGAACTTTTTGAGTAATCGACTCGTCATCGCGTTTCCAAGCACTTGTGTACTGTTACGGTCTGCGGATGAATATTGTAGAACCCTACAGTCAATGGGAAAGTTGACCTTGGTCGCGATGACAAGTTGATCGCGAATTCCCCGCTTCTCAGACCACACGCCGATGAGCTTCTCCGAGGTTTCGCTTTGACTGATCGGTGTATCAGCAACAGTTCAAACAAAAAACCAAGATCGAAACGTACTAGCCATTGGCGGTATCGATGAAATTGCCGCCATTGTCAAAATAAGCATCAAGCAGTTTGAAGCTGGAGTCCCTATCCATAGCGCCCATACCCATTGAGGCCCAAGCGGAGGCGTCGCCGATGCTCATGGCGCCGAGTTGGAGGGGCGAGACATGGATTCCTGCGGTGGGAGAGAGTTTCCTGTAGACGCCGAGCTTGGTGGGGGGCGCGGGGGCCGGCGCGAAGAACGACATGGCGCGTTGTTGGGTGAAACTTGGAGAGAGTGGTGTGAAGGAGATGTGTTCCTGGAGTTATCGATACCGCTGGGCTAGAATTTTATACCCCCAGCTCCCATGCTTTCACTAAGCGATTATCGAGTGAAGCATATAGTCGTCGACGTCAGATAGATTCTCTTGAAAGTCATGAGGCCTTGAGAAGCACCGGCTCAGGGTGACGCGTCAATACTAGCACTCGGCAAAATCTCTTTTTCAGAGGTTTGTAAGGATTTCTTGACGCTCGGGTTGTGCATAGTCGCCGCTTGGGATCTCCAATTATAAAACGAGGATGCGACCTGTATTTTGTGCGGTGAGAGTTTGAGTAGGGCTCTGACTCGCCCGTCTTTTGGACGGAAAAACGGACCCGAGTGCCGTCTTTCCGTTTTTTGGCCGGAAACGGCCGGAATGGACGAATTAGAGCCCTCACTGTTTGAGAAGAGCCAACCTTTACCGAGCCTTGGTAGTCCCATGGCCCAGACCGAACAATTCAATCTCTCTTTTGTCCACACCCGATGACTGAAGTTCACTGAACACCTTGACTCGAACCTAGAGAAGACATGCCAAAACCGTCGGTGGGTCGCAACGAGTATCTTGGTTGTACCGCGCGCTCTGATTGGTCAAATTGGCCAAATGACCGGCCCAGGATGTCTACCGAAATTGGCGTTGGTCCGTTGGACAGCTTACGATAACGAACCCATCCGCCGGCTCACCTGAAAAGTTGCGACGTTCATTCGCGATTCCGCCGCTACTAGTAGCTTCTCAAGAACCGAGTCTGGGACCTTACGCTCAGCCGCGTCTACCTGCTCTTGTAGCACCTTGGGACATAGCACGGACCGTGTAGTGAAGCTTTTGCGAAGCACCGCTTGTTCGTTCTTGCAAAGAACACGGTGGACCCAGACAGATTAATGCAGCAGCACTTCTGCGGAGGAGGGTATCTCGGAGATGACGACGTTCATGTTGTGAGGGGCAAGATGCTGGACGGAGAGAGTCGTAAGTAAGCAAGGAATTCAGCTTCAAAATTCGGAAGTCTCACAAGAGCACAAGAGATTTGAGGTCATTGTACTCGTATTTGCAGGGAAAAGGTTGTTTGGAAGGGTACGGGAGCTTCATCTGCATTCATTGCCATTTGGAAATATGGCTGGATTGGAGGGGCTGAGCGAATGTGGGTCAAGTTGAGTTCGGAAAGGGACTAACATCAAAAAGCAAACAAACTGCCACACGATCAGGTGATCAAGAGTTCAATCCTCCTTCAAGTTCTTCCTCGAAGCTTTGCAGTTTCCGTTGCGGAGAAATTTCATCGCACAATTCCCCTCTGCATATCGCGGCTTCCGACAGCCACCGCTAGGCAAGGAGGCGGCTCGCGGATGCTGACCGGACGGTCCGGACCTCGGGTTTCAACTTCCACATGCTTTCGAGTCCAACAATTTGCCAACAATTGGTCACTGAAGACGCAGACAGAATATTGGCCGGAGGTGTACAAGATGTGAGCTCGGATATCTCTCTCGGGGACCTGAACATCCTCACTTGTTCAAACTCAAATTTGAGGCGTATCATCATCGTATACTGCGACGATCGAATATTTATTATTCCCATCAAAATCAAAGAAATTCAGTAAAATCGATCCCCCCTCGTCCCAACCTTGTCCCACACAATCCTAAACATTCATTTACGTTCTCCCCTTCCCTATGCACACCCTCCAACCCTCTCTTGCCGTAATACCGAGCACTTTCATCAAAATTCATCGAAAACGCGATTTCTCGCTTGTTTTTGCTTTTCCTTGATTCCTTTTTGAAGATTCCACTTCTCCAGCACCTACCTAGCTTCCTATGGGTCGTATTAACGGTCCGATGGTGTAGTTGGTTATCACTTCTGTCTAACAATGCGCTGGTTTCTCGAAAGAGCTTTCCAAAGATTTGCTTGTTCACAGGCGGTCCTCAGTTCGAACCTGGGTCGGATCAGTTTTTGGGTCGTTTTACGACTCTCCCAATGCTTTTAGGTCAGTCCGGAAGTGTTCTGGAGCTCTGGTTGTCATGGGGAACGTTTTCTCGAAGATCCGGAAGATCCTTGTCAAGCACGCGAAAACCTCGATAATATTCTGTTTAGACACCTGGAGGTCGTGCAGCACCTCATTACGCACCCTACAGATGCGAGACCCAGCCCTATATGAGCTGTGGTGGCTTGGGGAACGTCGAGAAGAAAGAAAGTTCCCGATTGTTGTATTTCCTTTTTAGGATTTGGGTGCATCAAACAGCCAAACTTGCAGCCAACACCAATGGTCAATCGGACTTTATATCTTGCGAATCTCTCTAGCCATTGTACTGGTAGCCATGTGGCTGAACTACCTACATACTATAGCGTTTGCAGCCGATTTTGGTTTGAACCGTCTACTTACACCGGGCTGGCAGGCGCCGCTTCACTTCGAACATCGTTATAAGACATTTCATTTTTACTCCGATTTATCATTGAATTCGTGCATACTCGTCAGTAGGAGCCTGTTGAAGCATGACGCACTCTTTTTTTCGACTTCACTTGAAAACGACGTCCAAAGGTGCAAATGCTGTGCAATTTGGTCGAGATGCGATCACCAACTACACCATCGGACATGCACCATTTTCCTACGATTCCAGTCTCGTCCTAAGCTTTCACATAACTTTACATCCCATAGCCCTATGTTTGCTCTTCCGGGCCTCCACGAACACTTGAACCCGTGTGGATTTTGAAAGTCTGGCCGTACCAAATGCGCCGTCTGCCCGCCGTAACTAGACTGGACATGGCAGGCACTGCTGAAGCTTCAGAAGAGCTGCTTGACGAGCTCCGCCGGGATATCGGGAAGACCGGGCTCGGGCACGAATTTGGGAAGCGCAGCGAGGATGCTGGCGTCGGACTCGGCGGCGCGGGGGAGCGTGGCGGCGGCGGCAAGAGAGACGACCGCGAGAAGGGAAGCGATAGAGCGGGAGAGCTGCATGTTGGGGACTTTTTGGACGGTGTGGCTCAGTCTGTGACCGTGTTTTTGCTTTTCTCACCACAATCGGCCTCTTGTCCTGATCGTCTCCAGTCGCCCCGAGGACCGAAATGCGCCATTTGAATCCCTACTGGAACCCTTTCCACACACACAAGGCAGCGGTGGCGATCGTCCCGTTAATTCTCGGCCTCCGTCGTTTCTCGACGCAGTCGAATTTCTGGGAGTCTCTGCTATCTTTCACAAGTCTTTGTGCATCCAGCGTAGCGTGTGTGTATGTGAGAGATGGCTGCCAGATCTGGCTACAACTGCGACACTGCGACTGAAAAACAAAAGTGTTGCTGAAGTAGCAGCCTACCGTCAGTGGACGATCGCCTCCTCGCCTACGCATGTCCGACATCTGCCGGCTTATTACTTGCTGGCCTGACCGCACAAGCTCGGCACGCTCAGCTCTACCCCGAGTTGGGTCCAGGGTAACTCGAATCGCAGGACGCGCTCCGTATGTTCGCGGGGAGGGTGATCCCAAAAACACTATAAAACTCATTCGAACTGCTGGGTTTCCTTCATTCCTTTCTCCCGGCTGGCCCACTTTCATTTTCTTCTTTGCTTGCGTTTTTCTCCCTGCTTTCACCAATTTGCCTTGATTTCCTTTTTTTTGTTTCTTCACTTTTTTTTGTTGACGCCACGCTCAATACCGCGCCATGATGATGAAGATTCCCTTCTCCTTCCTCTCTTTGTCATTCTCTTATCTCTCGAAACTTTTGCGGCTTCGGTACCCAATGATCAGGTTGGAGATGAATTCGTGCGTCATCGGAGGTTTGTAAAGACATTGAGACTGAAATGCAAGTTAATTCTAGGCGCTCGAAGTTCGCGCGCAGGCGAAGAAAGTCAAGCCTGCGAAGAAGCCTGTAGCCAAACCGGTCGTGGTATGTCTGGGTTCACGGCGGAGTCCTTTCCTGTTCTTACTCTGAGTTTCAGAAGAAGCCAGCTGCGAAGCCCGCCACCAAACCCGAACCCGCTGCGAAGCCTGCTAAGAAGCCGGTTGCGAAACCTGCTACGAAGCCCATCGCGGTAAGTTCTATCCCTGCCGACTTCTTTTTTTTTTTTTTTTTTTGGTGGTACGACAAGGACTGAGTGACAACTAACAATGGGTTAGCCTCACTCAGCCGCTACGTAAAATTGGAGGACTTTCGACCTCCCGGATTAATGAGAAAAACCACCCCGAGGAAATGCCTTACGCACTGACGTGTAGGCACGACGGGTGTGGGACTCAACGCCTACTATCTGTTTCGGCCTCGCCGGCCAGAAGGCGGGGACGGAGATCTTCGCGATCTCAACGGCGCTATACCCACTAAAACCCCGGGTTCCGTGAGCCAATTTTCAGGCAATTCATCGTTATTCTCTAACGTACCACCCCAGGTTTCAAGCACTAGAGTGGGCGGGAGTGAGTGCTGGACACCAAACTTCATTTTGTTGGTTAAGTTTACATCTACGGTGAGTCTAGTATTTATAGCTTTCACCCAGCGATTGTGAATTTCAGTAGCTGTGGGCGGCTGTCCCGCTCTGCCGATCACGCTATCACAGCGGAGCTTCCAAATAAGGTGCGCCGACTCTGTGACCAGGATTGTATATAACCTCGATGCGGCGGGGTCTGGCTTGTTTTTTGAGTTCTTGAATATCGCTAATCCGGAACCTAGTATCAAACCCATTGAGATGGTTGGCCATACGAGGGATTTCTTATTCCATAGTTCTTCTGCTAGATCCCAGATTTCTTTTTGGCCCGGGCTTGGGCATTCAAGAAGAATATGTTGCAGAGATTCCTCTGCACCACAATGAGTGCAATTAGCCCGCTGCTCGCACTCAGGTATATGGTTCCAATATTTCCCGATACGGTGAGCGTTGTGTATGCTCTTCCACAGGAAATTTCGAATATTGGGGAGAATTTCGCGTTGCCGGGCCTTCTTCCATATAGCCGATGGCGTCGGTTGGTACCGGAAATTTGCCAGAATGGCCGCCTGAACCAGTAGTATGTTCTCGTCTGTCGCCTTACGACTTATAGGTGCGCGCATTTGTTTAATTCCCTTATAGGCTAGAGATTGTGTCAACTTAGAAAGTTTAGCCCCGGGCAGCGCGTTCCTTGGCCTTATTTTCATGTATACCTCGTCTATTTCTTCCTTTACCTCTCCAGCTTTCGAGAGGAGGAGGGCGGCGTCCGGTCCCGGTGAGTCTTCAGATATTATAAAAGTTGTTTTCCCCGTTCTTTGATTCAGTTCCGACGCTAAAGCTTTCAACGGGGAGGGGTTTACTACCCCTATCCAGCCGGTATCCTCCCATCTACGGAGGTGTTTTGTCATAGCTTTCGCCACAAAGCCTCTCTCGCTCTCCAGTTCCACTTCAGTACCCCGGTGAGTGGTCTGAATTTTGGCCAGGGCGGCAATGGTCTCGGCTGACTGGCGGGTGGGGGCTGACTCTTCAGACAGTTTTAAGGATATATTCAATTCGCTCCCTGTCGACAGCCATACCCCCGCCCCTACCGATTTAATTTCACTATTTTTTCGTGTCACTGAACCCGCAAACGAGGCGTGGACTCTCGCTTCCAGCCCGCGTCTTCTCGGAGCGGGATTTGCATTTGCCGACATGGTCGGCGTGTTCGTGAAGATGCGGAACCCATCTGAGACTTTAGTAGTTGGTAGGGGCCTGGGGAAGGTAATTTTATTTTCGTCTTCCTCCTCTGATTCGGAATCTGAATCCGAGTCCTCAGTGCATGTCGCCTTTCTCGGGTCCCAGCGAGGGAGGAGCTTATCTAGCTTGGTTCTAGCCGTCATTGCACAGCTATGAGGATTCGTGCAGCCCCTCCTCGTTCGGTCATCTGCACATGCTAAGCAATTACATGTTGCCTTCTCTCCATGGCTCGGGCTTGTAAGTCTCGCACTTATCTTGACCGCGTCTTCCATGTTGATTGCGCCGTGGTTCTGGCGTAGGCAGCGGCAACTTTTGCTGTTATTTACATGTCTCTTTGACGGGTCTTCCCCGAAGTGATGCCACATCGGCAGCTCCATGAGGAGTTCTTTGCTCGGGGTCATCGCTGCAAACTTGACCCCGAATTTTTTCGCTACGGTAAGCATGTCCTTCAGTCCTGCGTTCAGAACACTCTTTTTAACCTTCCAGGTCTGAAGGAACGGGTTAACAATCGATTCTGTGTCCACCTTCGGTGCTTTGAGTGTGTGATTCGAGAATCTCGCATCAGCAACGTAGCACCATTGTGCCCTTTTCGACGGGTCTAATTCTAAATATGACTTCAATTTCATTAGGTGTATGGCTTGGTTCCGCGCGGTGAGGTCGAACATATTTTTTCCTCCTTCCGCAATGGGCGCAAGTAGCATTTCCCTCTGTACGGGGGAGGACTTGGAACCGCTCCACATGAATTCACGCTGGAGCTTGATAAGCTGCTTTTCCACCTGTTTCGGCATTCCGTTGACCTGTGTCAGGTACTGGGTCATTGACCCTATCGTCATCTGGACGACATGGCGTCGCATCTCGATGGTAGGATGTCCCCTATCCCATTTCTCGAGGCTCGAGTGGATTTTCTCTATTGTGGGGGTCCATATAGCATGTGAGTTAATTCCGTTGCCTATGCGCGCACCGAGGATCCTCACAGACTCTCCGTCTTTCGCTATATGGACTGCGTCTGGGATTCGTGGATCATTTTCGTTGATCTTGCGTGTGTCTATTACACGCTGACGATATTCTTCGGAACCGATAGGTATTATCTCGGTTTTCGTCGAGTTGAATCTAGCACTTGACGCGCGGCACCACTTCACCAAGATCAGTTCCAGCTCTGCATACGAGTCCTCCTCGCATAGGTATACAGTAGTGTCGTCTGCAAACAGTGTCGTAATCAATTTCTCTCTCAGATTAGGTATCTGATATCCTTTCAGGTTGGATGCCCGCAACATGCAGGCCAGAGGTTCAATAGCAATATTGAAGAGAAGGCAGGAT